TTCATAAAGCCAATCTTTAGCCTTGTCTATAAGAGAGAATAGAAAGGTTTTCATCTTTAGAATATTGCCATCCACGTTGATTGGTGTCATGCTCGAGCACACCACTTCAAATTTCTTCAAATGCTTGTTTGAATCTTCCATGGACAGCCCATGGTATTTGGAAATATGATGCAGCAAACTAGACTTCAATTTGAACTCATTAGTCTTGCCTTGGGTTGTTGTAGGGTATTGAATGCAAAGAGGCACGACATTGTCCAATCCCGAGGCTGAAAGTTCCTGGATTGTTCGATTGTCAACAACCATGTCTTGTTACTCTTCGAATTCCTCTTCAATTTCCAATTCAGATTTAGATTCGGAACTAGAACTAGGTGGATTGGGTTATGGCTGCTTCCTTTTCCTTTTCAACATTCGTTCAAAATCGTCGTCAAACTCCAAGATATGTGCACTAATAGGTTGAGAACTTCAAGTCATAAACTAGTACCTATAACAAAGAAAACAAAACAAAACCAAATCAGAAACATAAACTAAACGAAAACAAAAACAAAGGGAAGATTAACAATTTTGCTAATCCCCGGCAACGGCGCCAAAATTTGATGTGATAAAAACTAGCACACAAATTAAACCCTATTTTTGACAATTGTAGTATGGATAAATAGGGATCATTCTAGGCCGGGGATTAGGAGGGATGACTAATCAACTCAAATTAGACTCAATTATACTTAACTAGACGTGAAAACACTAAATTAGACTCTTATGACTTAAAACTGACTCAAACTACTCAAAACAGTACAAGACTAGCAAACTAACTCCAAACTAACACTAAGGATAACTTTGGACGAAAATTGATTTTAACTTGACTCAAAACACTTAAAAACACAAATTGGATAGATTCCAACTAACTTGACATAGCAAAGTAAAGGGGATTGGGTTTTTAACGAATTTAAAGTAAAACTAAACATATTTAAGACTCTAAATAACTTTGGACGAAATTGGTGATTTAATGGGTGAATGGCTAGCTAGAGGGTTCTTCTCCACACATGACACACTTGCATACAAATCAATTTCCAATTGCTTTTCCAATAAACCATGAACCTCAACACACCAGATTAATTGTGAACAACACTAATTAACCCTAAGATTTTCCTTAAGTCTTTGAATTGGATGGACAACGCATCGGCAACCAAATTATATTTCAATAGTTCCCTACATGAACAACATAATAGAGATACAATCAAAGATCATTAAGCTTTGTGAAAATCATAAGCATTGACAAGACATTCGTAACTATGAACAACATGATACTCCCAACCAGGAATTCACTTAACATGATTGTGACTAGCAACCTCCACTACTTATAAATATAAGTTCATAACTATTAGGTGAAACTCCCTTATATTTTAGCATCAAATCTCTACATGCAAACTAAGTGTGCACCCTTAATCAACAAACAAGAATAAGTTATGAATCAAACAGTTAAGTAAATTGCATTCACGATTCATGAAATCACAATTGGAAGTAATCAATTTATATTGTAAATATATTTATGGCTTTGAATTTCCCCCTAGCTAAAACAAGTTTAGCTCCTCATGTTTGCAATTAAACAAAGATAATTAAATTTAAACATTGAAACAACGGATAGAATACACCTAGAAACGCTCCAACAATCCAACGTTTTGAATGGCAAGCATGGCTCTAGGGGTCTCCTCTCCTATCTCCTTGCAAAGCTGCGACACAATGAGATGAATGTGTATGAGTGATGTATGGGACAAATTTGTGATGGAAGGTGGGTGGTTTTCAATTGCTGCTGCACAATGTATTTATAGGGAAAGAGAAGGCACGGCAAGGTTGTGAAAGAATAGGATTAGGACTCCAAATTAGCAAGGAAAAGGGACACTTCTCATCAGGATTCTAGGGAGGAAAATGAGGAGTCTTTTTAGCATGAAATAGAGCTTCTAGAAGGGCTAGGTGTGTCACCAATTTAGGGATAGGGTCTTGGCTTCTAGAAACCTGATTTGTAGGTATCCTAATATGAAAATAAGTCCCCTTTATAGCTGGAATTTAGGTATATTAGGATTAGGATAGGATAAGATAAGATAAGGTTAGTTTGGATAAGATAAGGTTGGATAAGGTTTTGGATAATGTTTCTTCATTTTAGCTGATTCCTTATCTTCTTTGTCTTGAATTTATTTTCTTCATCTTTTCACACATTCCTAGCCTTTTGAACTTAAAAAACGTCCATCCACCTTGCTCCATACATGTGCTATCCATTCTTGGCTCAAAACTGCTCCAAAATGCTCCAAATTGCACTTTCTTGCCAACTTTGTCATATGAATCTACAAACACACGAAAATAGCTTAAAACACTATAATAAGTAAGAATTAACAACATAAATGCAAGAAAACAAGCTAACTAAGTCGCATAAATATGCTCCTATCAAAAGGCTAAAGAAAGAGAACAAAGATAGCTTTGGGCGACCCCAAGGGGAAGCCTATGTAAAAGTGGTTGGAACTCTTAGTTTTATAAGGTTAAAGAGGTTGTTATAGAATGCCAAGACATCCCAGTAATGGAGCATTTATTTCAGACGTTTTTTTTGTTGTTATTGGTCTCTTAAAGGGCCTTATTTATCACCATATTCAATTGTACACTTTGAATCTCTCTACATCAGAATCCTTATTCAATTCTCCACTTTCAGCACCATTTTGCCTTATTTACCCTCAAATGGCTCTAAAATACAATTAACTGCACATTAACACAAAAGAGAGTAAAACACAACCAGTTTAACTAAAAAATATCACAAAGAGACTAGGAATGGATGATATAAATGTTTGAAATATATGAGTTATCACTACGTAGCTGATCATCTTTGGTGGCTCACGAGGACTTTCCAGTGGTTCTGACATATCCATAAATAAATAGGAATCTTCTCCTAGTTTGTATAATTAGTACTTGTTTAGTTTGACTGCACTTGTGATACCTATGCTCTGAAACGTTTGTAGCTTGACCGAGTTACTTCCACACATTTGGTATTATCTTTAGTATAGCTAAGTCTTAGTTGGTTTTTATTTATTCGCATTTTCTTATTATCGTATACAATTCTATTGTGCACTTGGCTACGTCTGGCGGCCATCACGTCTCGACCTTGGTCGGGATGTGTCATTAAATTATTTGAACATTAATTTTAAACACTCTTATTGAGGGAATTGTTGGACTGAGGGTGTACAAACTCCCAATTTTGGCACTATATTGACTCAGATAGTATTATTTTGGAGCCAATTTGACTCTAGTCGGCCTCAAAAAGTTAATTGACAAAAATATCTTTATAGATAACATGTTTTAACGGCAAAATGGATGAAAAATAACATTGGTGGTGGATTTCCAATAGTTAAAAGAGTTTAGTGGTAAAAATAATAAAATTGAATGTTCAAGTGGCATAAGGGGTGGAATTTTTGTTAAAATACCGTACCAACCATACCATACCAAAGTTATGCTAAAATAAGTGTACAAGTTAGTAAAGGTACGGTATCCGTACCATACATTTTCAGGACAATAATGGTATCCAAAACCAATACCTATGGTATACCATATTGTACCGTATCAATTAATATCAAGAAGGGAATTTTAATGAAAAGCCTGCGTTACTGTTTACTTTAACGAAAAACCACAGTTTTACACTAAAAAGCCAATTCTGGTACTATTCACTTTTCCTTTTATTTTGTCCTTATTGTTAAAACTCAAGGAAAACTAATGAAAATGCCTTGAAAATTTTGATTTTTAACGATAAGGATAAAATAAAAGGTAAAGTGAATAGTACCAAGATTGATTTTTTTGTGTAAAAATGTGGTTTTTCGTTAAAGTTAACAGTACCGAGGGTTTTTTGTTAAAACTTCCTATATTATTTTATTTCATTTCATTTATATAGGTATTATGTATGTATGTATGTATGTATGTATGTATTATTATTATTATTATTATTATGCATTTTATGTTTTTTTCCTAGTCATCTGATATAAGAACCTAAGTCCTTCTTGCCGTTGCGACTTTATTTATTCCGTCATCTTGCCATCGCGACTGTATCTTTTCTCTCATCTTGTCGTCGACTTCATCTCCATTTCTCCATTTTGACGACTACCTTTCTCTCTGCAGTCCATCATCTCTCCTTCCTCAAATTGGGTTGTCTTTCTCCCTATTTCGTCTATCAAGTTAATTTTTGTACCATTTTAAAGAATGTAGAGATGGAGTTTTGGAATCTCTATACTCCTACTTCTTAAGAAATGTTGGGTTCTTTTAGCAGTTTTTCCATCTATTTACTCATTTTTTCTTAAATGAATCTCTATAAATTCTCTATAATTAAATTAAAAAGTTTTAAAAACATGTCTTAGCCTTGAATTGGGTTGGGAAAAAAAGATCAAATTTTGGCTCATAAAAGTGGCCCAAACCAAAGTGCTAATTATCATATCATATTTATTTGGCATATTGAAAATTTGGTTTGGTAGTATGATAATTAGTATAGAAATTTTTGTACAGTAATCATACCGATACCACCCCTAAATATAATTACACATACTTATAAATTCAGGTGTTACTTGCAATATCTACTAAGACTTGGTTTGGTACTGAAGTGATTCTAAAAAAAGTTGGTATCAAAAAAAGCTTTTTTTGTGTCTGGTAAACATTTAGCTTCATTTTTTTTTCACAGTTTTGGATGAAAAAAAGCTAAAAACAAGAAGCTGCAAAACTCAGCTTTAAAAAACCGGCTTTTTTTTCACATCTGTTTTACATAAAAGTTTACCAAACACTATAATACTGTTTTTTTCTTTCAAAAGCATTTTTACAAAAAAGTTTACCAAACACTCTATAGCTTTATTTCACAGCTATTTATTTTCATACATAACAAAAACAGTTTTTTTATCAAAGTACATCAATACCAAACCAACGCTAAAAATACGAGACTACAGGACACGAGTTCTCCATAATAGTCCATAGGAGAGAACAAACACCAATAAATTGAGCATTTCAGATTTAGGTGCCCACGCACTCTCTTTCTATCTCTAATCTCTATTCTCTCTGCTCTTTCACTTGTTGCGGCTAGGGTTTTTCTCTCTCCTCTCTCTCTAACCCCTAAAGCCTCAATCTTTCAGATCTCTCTCTACACTTAATCTAGATACTATCTCCATCTCAATACATCCATGGTGATATTGCTAAGGTAGGTCTCTCTGTCGCCTCTGACAGCAAGAATCTCGGGGATTTTAGGGTTTTTGTGGTGGTTTATTGAAGAAATGGCGACCATGAACCCGTTTGATTTGTTGGGTGACGATGATGCCGAGGACCCGTCGCAGCTGATCGCAGCTCAGCAGCAGAAACTGGCTGCAGCGCCCAAGAAGGTTGTCCCTCCTCAGCCGATCAAGGCAGGGGCTCAGGTTCAAGAGACCAAGCCGGCTAAGCTGCCTTCCAAGCCAGCACCTCCTGCTCAGGCTGGTGAGCTTTCGATTTTTTCTTCACTTTCTTTATATCTAGTCATTCAGTGATGAGTTGTGTTCTTGTTTGTTTGGTTTTTGTGAAGTTATGATTGGAAATGGTTTGCCTTCTGTTCGTGTTATTTGGGGTTTTGTGTAATCTTGGATTCTTTCCTTTTTCTTCAGTGAGATTTGGGTTTTTCGGTTTTGTTTACGGTTTTTGAATGTCCATGAATTTTGAATGGTGGGTTTCTGTGGATTTCGTTATTTGAAGAGGGAAACTATGCATTGGATTGTTACTTGGTACATAGGTTTATAGGCATAAAATTATATAGTCACACCTACTCAAATGTTCAAATGTATTCATTTACGTATGTTTGCGCATTCACTTCTGTATACGTGTGTTAACTGCCATATATAAAATACACCCATGTAGATTTGGTTAAATGAATAATGTACTTTCAATTAGAGATGCATGTTTTCTCAGGAAAAAATACACAAAGGTGAGCATTCAGAATGATACTTTTGTATGTTTGTGTGTGTGTGTACGGATGTATGTATGTATGTATGTACATGCATAAATTAATAGTAGTTTGTTGAACTTTTGTTTTTCTTGCTATTGATATTTTCCTGTGGGTGGAAAAGTGGTACTAGTGTGTTTGTTATGATTATGTTTAGGAATATTGTATTGTGCTTGCATTTAAAAACATATTTTGAATCTCCTTGAGGCTCTGGAAGGAAAAACTAGGGGAAATTTGGTTTTCTTTTCTTTTGTTTACTTCCCATGAAGCTTGGAAGTGGTGGAAATAATATTGTGGAAAGTTGTATTCACATGAATTGCTATATATTGATTTATGTAGAAATATACCAGACGAAACCTTTTCTGTGCATATCATGGCAATTTAAATTTGATTGTACCATGTTCTTTTTTGTGGGAACCATGTTTCAGTGATACTGTTTGTTGAAATTGCTTTCTATTACTATTTGTTTTACATATCTGTTTCTTCTTGAGAAGTGAGGGATGCAAAGAATGAAGCTGGTCGTGGGGGAGGTCGTGGAGGTGGACGTGGATATGGTTATAGCCGTGGACGTGGTGGTGGTGGTTACAACCGTGAATCATCCAATTATGAGAACACATTCAGCAACAGTGGAGCTCCTCCTGGTCAAGGTGCTCTTGAAGATGGTGATGGGAAGGAAAGGCATGGCTATGGTGGACCTCGTGGGCCTTACCGTGGTGGTCGCCGCGGTGGTTTTGGAAATGCAGAAGTTGGTGATGGAGAACGCCGCAGGGTATTTGAACGCCGTAGTGGGACTGGACGCGGGTAAATAGCTTTCCATTTAATTACATTATATATTCACTAAGTTTTGAGGTTTAGTGTATATTTAACTTTTTTTATGTGCAGAAGTGAAGTCAAACGCGAAGGTTCTGGTCGTGGCAACTGGGGGTCACAAGCTGATGAACTTTCTGAGTAAAATACCTCTATTGCAATCTAATTGCATTGTCACTCTAAAATCTCTTCTAATTCCTTGTTGCATTTGGTGCATTTGGTTGAAATACATTTTAATTATGTTGGCTACCTTGATGTTTGTCATTATTTGTGCTTAGGCTGACCGAAGAAGTTGCCAATGTAACTGAAAAGCATTTGGGTGATGAGAAGCCTGTGGAAGAGGGAGATGCAGCAGATAGAAAGATACCCCTGCTAATGAACCTGAAGAAAAAGAACCTGAGGATAAGGTGAGCGTCTTCTTTTCATTTTTTGTTATTGTGATTTATTGTAGTTCTGCATCTTCTTTCCCTTCAGAAGCCAATGCAATCTGAATTGTCTATCTGTGGGTTTATTTATTTTCAGTAGGACATGTAAAATTACTGCAAAGAAACAACTATTGGCGATTATAATGTTTTTAATATAAGTGCTGCAAACAGTTTGGAGTTATATGGGAATTTTATGATAGGAATACAAATGAGCGTTTGTTTGATTAGTTTAATTTGTAGGACATGTGAAAAGTCTTTGTTTGGTGTATCATTTATTTTGTGGAATAATTTTTTGTCCCTGTAGTTAGCTGAAAGTGCTTATCGAATGCAGTCTTTTATGTGCTTTAGAACAAGCTATGGTTGATGAATAGTTTGCTGAACATAAAGTTTTTGAATTAGATCTTTGTCCTGCCTCATATTCAGACAATCACTTAGTATACTACTCTAGCCTTTTAGCTTTGTGGTTATCCCTAGTTTGTGATTTTTTTATGCTTCTTGAATAGGAAATGACACTTGAAGAGTATCAGAAGGTGCTCGAAGAGAAGAGGAAGGCCCTTCAGGCACTTAAGACTACGGAGGAAAGGAAGGTTGATGCCAAGGAATTTGAATCATTCCAACAGCTATCAAACAAGAAGGCCAATGATGAAATCTTCATTAAATTGGTGAGATCCTCAGTCCTTTGTAGAAGTATCTGAGTCCATGTTCGTTTTGTGGAATTTTACATCACATTAACATTCCATTCCACTTGACATTTTCTTCTTCACAGGGCTCTGACAAGGATAAGAAGAAAGATTCTGAGAAGGAAGAAAAATCCAAAAAGGTACTACTGCCTTTACCTTCCTCTGTATTCTACGAAGACATGTTTTGTTAACCCCAACCCCCCCCCCCCCTCCCCTTTTGGTGCTGGAAATTTTTGCCAGCGCCTTGTGAAAAATGCATATCCTTTTTCACTTTGAATGCATACACTTTTCTGTTATCTATTTTGTCTGTTTTTCTTTCACAATATTTTTGTGGCCTTTGAATGTCTAAGGTGTGCCAAATTCCTGCACGGGGATGACGCTAATGTCTGCACTGCTACTTTTTTTACCCATTTTTAATTAGAATCCCATTCCCAGCCTATTCCAGTTTAGTTAATGCCCATAGGTATTTATGCAAGGGGGTTTCTCCAATGCCTGGGTGCGTGTTCTGGGATTGTGGCAGGATCAGTCCTGATCAGTTGCTTTTGACAATTGATCATCACTCACATCCTGCAACACTCATCCCGTGTTGGAGAATGTTATATTCTTCATTTGTGGGTGAATGGAACATGGGGTAACTCTATTCCTCTCCTGTCCTTCAGTCTTACTTTCTGTTCAACAGAATAACTAGTTAATGCTATTATTCTTGCCAAGTCCTTGGTCCATAATACAATCATTGCACCTGATCTCTTGAAGTGTGCAGTAACGTGTTTAATCTTGTTGAAATTCATGGGGTGGACCGACCACCATGATGTCTAAAATTGGTTTAATATCTTAGCTCAAAGAATTATTTTGGTGAAGAAGTCTCCCAATCTCCTGGTATGTTTATTTTCTGCATGAAATTGTTTTTCCATCGACATACCCTCGGTGGTGTTTTTTCTCTTCGTGACGTGTGCTACTCTATTTCCTGATTTACTTTGTAATGTTAACTGAGATTATTTGGTCTCTCCTTTATGTATCATACTAAAGTGCCGTTATCTTGTTCTTGTGGCCCTAGTCTGTCAGCATCAATGAGTTCTTAAAGCCCGCTGAAGGAGAGAGGTTCTACAACCCAGGTGGTCGTGGCCGTGGCCGTGGTCGTGGTTCCAAAGGAGGAGGGTTTAGCAGCAATTACTCGCATAGCAGTGCGGCAGCCCCATCCATTGAAGACCCTGGGCAGTTCCCTACCTTGGGCGGCAAGTGAGGTTCATAAGAACCCAAACTAGTCTCAGCGACATTCGATTTTCGGGTTCATTCCTTTCATCTGAAACAGGATACTAGCTAGAATAATTGATTTCCTGTATTTTTTAAAGAAATTTCATGACTCAAAACTGTAAATTTCAGTTTTATATGTACCCCAGTAGATTTTTTGTTTCTTTTTCTTTTTAAATTGTTACGCAATGTGACCTGGTTTATGACTTTGGGGCATGTGAAAATCCTTGACCAGTTTTGCTTCATACGTTGTATTGACATGTTACTTTTGTCTCTAGAAGTAGAAGTGGCTCTTATGTTTCCTACTTGGTAACCCAGGAGTTGTTCTGCTGCGCTATTCCGTTTGATTTTTGTAGTCGCGATGAGATATATTCACTTGTATGGCCCGCAACATTTCTTGTGGATGAGCGTTGTCGCCGACCATACATTATGCATTCATTCTGAGTGAGTTTGCTTTCTGGAGATGGCATGTACTTATCCCTCAGAAAAGAACATATTAATGTCTAAACTCGATAGGCAGAGGATCAAATCTATCAAGGTAATTCCATGACATTTGTAGTATTGTCGGAAAACTATGGCTTTTTATCACCAGCTTAGGGTTCGTTTGAAATACATATTTAGTAGATACTTAAGCTCAAAAGTGCTTGTAGTTAAAGTAAAATCAGTCACTCTACACTAAGGTCTGGTGGTATTCCTTTTCACTTGTAAGTGAGAGGTCTTAGGTTCGATCTTCGTCAAAGACAAATTTGAACCACATTATTGCTAGTTCATTGTGAGGCTAAGCTCGCCCCTTCCCCATAGTGTAGATAATATTGATTGTTAAAAAAAAGGTAAAATCAGAATAATGTTAAGACATTTTAGTTGTTTTGCCTTGCCACCCAAGTTAGTTTTGTTGAGGCATCTCTAAAACATGTCCAACTTGTGAACTCCACAACCGTTGCCCGTCGTGGGCGCATTTCTGAACGGGTAATGCTAGGCATTACCAATGCTAGGTATTTCCCTACCCTTTCACCCCAATCAGAGATACTTAGCCATTGCAGCCATACCCTATAGTTTGGGGAATACCAAAGTGATGAAGACAAAGATAATGATTAAGCTCTACATCAAGAAAATGGCGTGTACTGAGGTAACACATGTTGGAATTGCAAAATAAAAAGAGAAATAGAAGAAAAGAAAAAAAATGAATAAAGAAGATGCAATTTCCAAATCCTTCATTATCGCACATGTGTCCTGGACGCCAAGAACAAACAACGAAGATCAATTCAAGAGGAGAGCTTGCTGGTTTCACAACAAAGAAACTTTGGTATGTCCCAAGCTCTAGTATTTCCAATCCATTCTTTCATAGTCCCCAGCCTAAGCCTTACATTACAACCTTGTGAAAGGCCTAGCTGATCTTTAGGGATATATTCATGGGTGCTGGTAAGTATGTGTGCTATCCATATTCTTAATGTTTGATTCCTTTCATGAGATATATTCAGAAATTGTGCTGTTATTTCATATTTCATATGTGAGAATTTTGATTCCCTTTTACATAACTTCACTCATATATGTTTGATGAGAGACAAAACCTTAGGATCTAAACGAAAATTTGAGTGACAATCTATGAGAATTAGAGTTGAGGCGAATTCTATCTTTCGTCTTTGAGTATGGTGCTTTTGAAGTCATGAGTCATGGAACAATACTTTTACACTATACACATGATATGATTCTTTGAAGTGGCAGTGTTTTGTTTGATGGTATGACTAAGCATTCATTGGTTCTTATTAGTTTGTTTCAAGTGAGTTTTAACCAATTTATTTGTCAAGTCTGCAGATGTTTGTGGGCGTCATCGTTGTAAACCCTCAGGAGACACAACTCCTCCGACTAGGGACACCTAAAGGTTTAAAGGCTTGTTGCACATGCTCAGTGCAATCTTTTAGCCAGCGAAAGTGGTCTAGTTAGATTTTTCTTTGTTTTGTTTGTTTTCAATTTTAGTTTTGCTGGAGGACCAGCAAAAACCAGGTTTGGAGGTATTTGATAACTCATATATTTCATACATTTATGTCATCCATCCTAGTCCTTTTGTGATATTTTTGAGTTAAACTTGTTGCATTTTACCCTCTTTTGTGTTAGTGTGCATCTAATTGTATTTCGGAGCTCAGTTGAGGACATATAAGGCAAAATGGTGCTAAAAGTGGAGAATTGAATAAGGATGTTGATGTAGACAAAGAATTAAAAGTGGAAACTGAATATGGTGATGAATATGGCTCTTTATAAGATCAATAACAACAAAAAAACGTGGGAATTAAATGCCCAATTACTGGGATGTATTGACAATCTGTAACAGCTCTTTAACATTATAAAACCTAGCCTTTCAGCCATTTTCACATAAACCTTTCATTCTGAGCAAATTTCACAACTCCAGTCACTTTTTCTCTCTTTTCATCCACACTCAAAACTCTACCCATTCTATACAGTCCAACATCACCGAGGACTCATCCCAACAGGCTGTTCTTAGAGAAGTTCAACATTAGAATTGCTTCAAGGGTTTCCTCTCTCTTTGATTTATTTTCACCCATGTTGTGTATTTCCAATTTCATCTCTTTGAACATGATGTGTAACTAAATTCATAGCTAGGGATTTCGATGTAGCCTTGCACAATTGATCCATGTTTTTATGTTAAAATATTCAATTCATCAATCTGTCTCTTGTTTCATTCACTGAATCTTTTGTTAAATTTGTTTGTTAATTTTAATGTTTGATCAATTTCTTATAGATCATTTGATCAAGATTATAGTAAACATCATGCTTAATCTTGGTACACATGTGAATGAATGAAGAGAATGCTATGCAAACATCCTGCCATGTATTTTCTTTGGTTCTTTAATGTTTTCTTGCATGCTAAAGACTCTTAATTTGGAACCAAAGTTGAACATCCCAATTAGGTTGTAGATTAGGAGAATTTGATCAAAACCACACATCATATGACTGATCATATATATGTAAAACGAACTCTGGAAATAGGTTGGTAATTGAATACAGTTGAACTTTATAAACATGGAGTTGGTTTTGTAATGGTGAACTCGAAATCCCTGGACCCATCTTCATCGTTTCTCAATCAACATATCATTCGTTGTTACATTTTCTTGCATTTTTAGTTATTCTCATTAACAACACAAAACCTACATTCAATTTGTTATTTTCATTGTTTAGTTAGGGTTCTTTCAAGGCTAGTAATCTATAGAGGTCTAATCAGTCTTTGTGGTTCGACACCCTTACTTATGCCATTATACTAACCATATATTGCACTCGGAAGGAACACAACATGAAGTTTCTGACATTCATAAGATATCTTCTCCAATGGAAGATAGATTCTTAGACATAGGCCTATATGTTGGTCGAAACCCCGATTATTTTACTGGTTTAAGTTATGAACAATTCCTTTATTTGGCTAATTTGTTTAGTGTTTGTTTTAATTTTTGGATATTGAATTTATGGATTATTTCTCAAATAATCAATTGAATGAATGAATTTTCTTTAAGTTTCCTTATACTTGTGACCAATTCAATTAATTTATTTCTAGGTATGACTAGTGGGGAAGTTATTATTTGGCAGATAGTGCAACCACGCACACCATTTTGCATGAACGTAACAATTTTACCAACTTCATGAAGGATTTATTTTGAAAAACATGTTCATTTGAGCAACATCATATAGCATGCAATTAACAATTAAAGGCGGAATCATGCTTGCATGCACTCAAAAACAAAACATTACCATGAAATTCAAAGCCTAGTAGTTTGGTGAACCAATAATCAACTCAAAACAAAGTGAGTTGAAATTAATACCTTTGTAGATTCCTCTTTGCATAAGCAAAGGCTAATCACCCAAAGAGATAGGGCCTTCATTCCTTGCTTCTTAGATCCATGGATTTGGATGGAAGAATAGGTTCTCCAAGTTCCCAAAATTGAGAACCTCTAAGTCTCTTCACCAAGGTTAGATTGTAGAAGAAATGAGTGACCTTGGAGTAGTAGGATTGCTAGATGTACCCTCCAAGGTGTTGGCCTCTTTAGAGAGAAAATGGAGAGACAATTCTCACCCATTTTCACCCAAAATAAACCCTTAATCACATTAATGAATATTTGGCTATAAAGTCCTTTATATAGTCACTTCTTTAAGTGACCTAAACAACCAAAACCCTAATTCATCACCATATGGCCGGCCACCTAAGGAATTTTGGGCTTTTGGGCTTTAATGAATCTTTATTCATTAAATTGTCATACAACTTAAGTTAATGGGCTTGACGTTCAAAGCTCATTGGGCCTTAAGGTCCAAAACTATCCCGAGGTCTTTAACGAACTTATTCGTTTGATTAATTAACATATTAATTAATCCTTGCCATAAATAAATGATTAAACCATTTAATCATTCTTACTCATTTCCGTTTAATCTTCAATCTCCACCTTTTATGGTGTGCGATCCATTAGGTTCCTTTTAGCGAGGCAGTGGGCGATTAAAACAATTTTACATCGATTGTGAATTGAAACAATTTTCAATTCTCCCTTTAGTGGTTATACACGTATAGGGCTTCCACAAACCATGGTTGACGCCTAGCAGCATGTCATGGTTACCCAAGCTAATCAGAAGAGGTTAGAGAACCTATTCAGTTCGGGATTACAAATGCAATACGGTCCTTCTCTAATCTAATACTCTTGACCATATTGTTTGGTATGATAGTTTATTTACTCATGTCTACTATCCAATGTGAATCGTTTGCTTATATGATTTCCTTGAATGTGATTTGGAACGCATTCCCCAATCTCATTCATACTCTGGCCAGAGATTCCAAATCATATCATAGAGTATTCTCCCTCAACTGTTTGAAGGTTAGAGATCCCTTGTTGCGCATTTACTTGTCTCCATAGCTAAGTGGCTTAACCCCAACGATGCCGTGACACCCGTAGGGGGTGAATTAGACATAATCAAAGATTAAGGACTTAACCACAAGACAACTGTGATGCCTCAGGTCAAAGGACTACTTTGCATTATCCCAACCATGAGTTCTCATGTGACATGGAATATAAGAACTCTTCGTTGATCACGTTCAGTGAACTCATTCTCTTATTGAGCACCTACGTACTTGTCTTGATGTCACACACACCAATGACTCGAGACTAGTCACTCTCCCTGAGAGAAGACACAGTACGTACTGATCTTAACGGACTGTCAATGCCCAATTGGTATCCTATGATCAGGAACATTTAGGATGTGTCTACGAAAGAATGGTCTCATTAATCTAACTTCATTAGATTGCATTCTCCCAATC